GGTGTATAGTGAGATGTACTGTGAGAGGTGTATAGTGAGATGTACAGTTAGTGGTGTATAGTGAGATGTACAGTGAGTGGTGTATAGTGAGATGTACAGTGAGTGGTGTATAGTGAGATTTACAGTTAGTGGCGTATAGTGAGATGTACAGTGAGTGGTGAATAGTGAGATGTACTGTTAGTGGTGTATAGTGAGATGTACAGTGAGAGGTGTATAGTGAGATGTACAGTGAGTGGTGAATAGTGAGATGTACTGTTAGTGGTGTATAGTGAGATGTACAGTTAGTGGTGTATAGTGAGATGTACAGTGAGAGGTGTATAGTGAGATGTACTGTTAGTGGTGTATAGTGAGATGTACAGTGAGAGGTGTATAGTGAGATGTACTGTTAGTGGTGTGTAGTGAGATGTACAGTTAGTGGTGTATAGTGAGATGTACAGTTAGTGGTGTATAGTGAGATGTACAGTGAGAGGTGTATAGTGAGATGTACTGTTAGTGGTGTATAGTGAGATGTACTGTTAGTGGTGTATAGTGAGATGTACTGTTAGTGGTGTATAGTGAGATGTACAGTGAGTGGTGAATAGTGAGATGTACTGTTATTGGTGTATAGTGAGATGTACAGTTAGTGGTGTATAGTGAGATGTACAGTGAGAGGTGTATAGTGAGATGTACTGTTAGTGGTGTATAGTGAGATGTACAGTGAGAGGTGTATAGTGAGATGTACTGTTAGTGGTGTATAGTGAGATGTACAGTGAGTGGTGAATAGTGAGATGTACTGTTATTGGTGTATAGTGAGATGTACAGTTAGTGGTGTATAGTGAGATGTACAGTGAGAGGTGTATAGTGAGATGTACTGTTAGTGGTGTATAGTGAGATGTACAGTGAGAGGTGTATAGTGAGATGTACTGTTAGTGGTGTATAGTGAGATGTACAGTGAGTGGTGAATAGTGAGATGTACTGTTATTGGTGTATAGTGAGATGTACAGTTAGTGGTGTATAGTGAGATGTACAGTTAGTGGTGTGTAGTGAGATGTACAGTTTGTGGTGTATAGTGAGATGTACAGTTAGTGGTGTATAGTGAGATGTACAGTTAGTGGTGTATAGTGAGATGTACAGTTTGTGGTGTATAGTGAGATGTACAGTTAGTGGTGTGTAGTGAGATGTACAGTTAGTGGTGTATAGTGAGATGTACAGTTTGTGGTGTATAGTGAGATGTACAGTTTGTGGTGTATAGTGAGATGTACAGTTAGTGGTGTATAGTGAGATGTACAGTTAGTGGTGTATAGTGAGATGTACAGTTAGTGGTATATAGTGAGATGTACAGTTAGTGGTGTATAGTGAGATGTACAGTTTGTGGTGTATAGTGAGATGTACAGTGAGAGGTGTGTAGTGAGATGTACAGTGAGTGGTGTATAGTGAGATGTACTGTGAGTGGTGTATAGTGAGATGTACTGTGAGTGGTGTATAGTGTGATGTAGTTAGTGGTGTATAGTGAGATGTACAGTGAGTGGTGTATAGTGAGATGTACAGTGAGATGTACTGTTAGTGGTGTATGGTGAGATTTACAATGAGTGGTGAATAGTGAGATGTACAGTGAGGTGTGTAGTGAGATGTACAGTGAGAGGTGTGTAGAGAGATGTACAGTGAGTGGTGTATATTGAGATGTACAGTTAGTGGTGTATAGTGAGATGTACAGTTAGTGGTGTATAGTGAGATGTACAGTTTGTGGTGTATAGTGAGATGTACAGTTAGTGGTGTGTAGTGAGATGTACAGTTAGTGGTGTATAGTGAGATGTACAGTAGTGGTTGTGTGGTGAGATTTACGATGAGTGGTGAGATGTACAGTTAGTGGTGTGTAGTGAGATGTACAGTTAGTGGTGTATAGTGAGATGTACAGTTTGTGGTGTATAGTGAGATGTACAGTTAGTGGTGTATAGTGAGATGTACAGTTAGTGGTGTATAGTGAGATGTACATAGTTGTAGTTTGTGGTGTAGTGAGATGTACAGAGTATAGTGAGATGTACAGTTAGTGGTGTATAGTGAGATGTACAGTTAGTGGTATATAGTGAGATGTACAGTTAGTGGTGTATAGTGAGATGTACAGTTAGTGGTATATAGTGAGATGTACAGTTAGTGGTGTATAGTGAGATGTACAGTTTGTGGTGTATAGAGATGTACAGTGAGAGGTGTGTAGTGAGATGTACAGTGAGTGGTGTATAGTGAGATGTACTGTAGTAGTGTATAGTGAGATGTACTGTGAGTGGTGTATAGTGTGATGTAGTTAGTGGTGTATAGTGAGATGTACAGTGAGAGGTGTGTAGTGAGATGTACAGTGAGTGGTGTATAGTGAGATGTACTGTGAGTGGTGTATAGTGAGATGTACTGTGAGTGGTGTATAGTGTGATGTAGTTAGTGGTGTATAGTGAGATGTACAGTGAGTGGTGTATAGTGAGATGTACAGTGAGAGGTGTATAGTGAGATGTACTGTGAGTGGTGTATAGTGAGATGTACAGTGAGAGGTGTGTAGAGAGATGTACAGTGAGTGGTGTATAGTGAGATGTACAGTGAGATGTACTGTTAGTGGTGTATGGTGAGATTTACAGTGAGTGGTGAATAGTGAGATGTACAGTGAGGTGTGTAGTGAGATGTACAGTGAGAGGTGTGTAGAGAGATGTACAGTGAGTGGTGTATATTGAGATGTACAGTGAGGTGTATAGTGAGATGTACAGTTAGTGGTGTATAGTGAGATGTACTGTTAGTGGTGTATGGTGAGCTGTACAGTGAGTGGTGTATAGTGAGATGTACTGTTAGTGGTGTATAGTGAGATGTACAGTGAGTGGTGTATAGTGAGATGTAGAGTTAGTGGTGTATAGTGAGATGTACTGTTAGTGGTGTATAGTGAGATGTACTGTTAGTGGTGTATAGTGAGATGTACAGTGAGTGGTGTATAGTGAGATGTACTGTTAGTGGTGTATAGTGAGATGTACAGTGAGTGGTGTATAGTGAGATGTACTGTTAGTGGTGTATGGTGAGATATACAGTGAGTGGTGTATAGTGAAATTTACAGTTAGTGGTGTATAGTGAGATGTACAGTGAGTGGTGTATAGCGAGATTTACAGTTAGTGGTGTATAGTGAGATTTACAGTTAGTGGTGTATGGTGAGATGTACAGTGAGTGGTGTATAGTGAGATTTACAGTTAGTGGTGTATAGTGAGATGTACTGTTAGTGGTGTATAGTGAGATGTACTGTTAGTGGTGTATAGTGAGATGTACTGTTAGTGGTGTATGGTGAGATGTACAGTGAGTGGTGTATAGTGAGATTTACAGTTAGTGGTGTATAGTGAGATGTACTGTTAGTGGTGTATAGTGAGATTTACAGTGAGAGGTGTATAGTGAGATGTACAGTGAGTGGTGTATAGTGAGATGTACAGTTAGTGGTGTATAGTGAGATGTACTGTTAGTGGTGTATAGTGAGATGTACAGTGAGAGGTGTATAGTGAGATTTACAGTGAGAGGTGTATAGTGAGATTTACAGTTAGTGGTGTATAGTGAGATGTACTGTTAGTGGTGAATAGTGAGATGTACTGTTAGTGGTGTATAGTGAGATGTACTGTTAGTGGTGTATAGTGAGATGTACTGTTAGTGGTGTATGGTGAGATGTACAGTGAGTGGTGTATAGTGAGATTTACAGTTAGTGGTGTATAGTGAGATGTACTGTTAGTGGTGTATAGTGAGATTTACAGTGAGAGGTGTATAGTGAGATGTACAGTGAGTGGTGTATAGTGAGATGTACAGTTAGTGGTGTATAGTGAGATGTACTGTTAGTGGTGTATAGTGAGATGTACAGTGAGAGGTGTATAGTGAGATTTACAGTGAGAGGTGTATAGTGAGATTTACAGTTAGTGGTGTATAGTGAGATGTACTGTTAGTGGTGAATAGTGAGATGTACTGTTAGTGGTGTATAGTGAGATGTACTGTTAGTGGTGTATAGTGAGATGTACTGTTAGTGGTGTATAGTGAGATGTACTGTTAGTTGTTAGTGGTGTATAGTGAGATGTACAGGTAGAGGTGTATAGTGAGATGTACAGGTAGAGGTGTATAGTGAGATGTACAGTGAGTGGTGTATAGTGAGATGTACAGTTAGTGGTGTATAGTGAGATTTACAGTTAGTGGTGTATAGTGAGATTTACAGTTAGTGGTGTATAGTGAGATTTACAGTTAGTGGTGTATAGTGAGATGTACAGGTAGAGGTGTATAGTGAGATGTACTGTTAGTGGTGTATAGTAAGATGTACAGTGAGTGGTGTATAGTGAGATGTACAGTTAGTGGTGTATAGTGAGATTTACAGTTAGTGGTGTATAGTGAGATGTACAGTTAGTGGTGTATAGTGAGATGTACAGTTAGTGGTGTATAGTGAGATGTACAGTTAGTGGTGTATAGTGAGATGTACAGTTAGTGGTGTATAGTGAGATTTACAGTTAGTGGTGTATAGTGAGATGTACAGTTAGTGGTGTATAGTGAGATGTACAGTTAGTGGTGTATAGTGAGATGTACAGTTAGTGGTGTATAGTGAGATGTACAGTTAGTGGTGTATAGTGAGATGTACAGTTAGTGGTGTATAGAGAGATGTACAGTGAGTGGTGTATAGTGAGATGTACAGTGAGTGGTGTACAGCTAATCTGTATTGATGATGGTTGCCATTTAACCACTGTACGGGGTCGCCTCTGAGCCAAATAAAATTGTCTGGTATTAACCCCATACAATATTAAAAGTGGCATCTCTATAGTGAATGGGTTCAGGTAAGGCAAAGCAAGGCTAGGCTAGGCTAGGCTAGGCTAGGCAAGGTTAGGCTAGGTAAAATAAGGTTAGGTAAGGTAAGGTTAGGTAAAGTAAGGTTAGGTTAGGTTAGGTTAGGTCAGGTTAGGCTAGGCTAGGTTATGTTTGGTTAGACTAGGTTAGGTTAGGTTAAGTGATGATTCATAAACAAAGCTGTAGTGACATACCAGAGGGAATATAAACAATGTTGGTGGAGAAGAGGGAGTGGAGCAGCCAGGTCCACATGCCATAGAAGGCTCCCATCTTGAGGGAGGCGATGAACACACCATTCACAGCGTCCTCCACGGCCTTCCCTAGGCTGAACATTTAAAGATTATTACTTATTTTGACCACAGTATACTGTATGTGTGTGTGTGTGTTCATGAGAATTATTATCAACACCTACATATTCCTCACCTTGCTGATGACAGAATAAGAGAACATATGAAAAACTGTGATATTATAACACAAAGTAAAAAGTCCATATATAATATTTGGATAACCTGAAGATTAACCTCACAGCTTATTTTACATAAAGATTAAACACCCTAACCTAACCTAACCTAACCAACCCCCCAGGTACAGGCTGGGTATCTCTTATCTGTATTTCCCATGTCCTAAATGCTCTGAAATGCAAAAGTTTATTTTGAGCAATACCCCATTTTAGTGTAATAAGACCATTAAGGAGAAATTTAGGGTAAGCAAAAATTTTGCCAATACAGTTGTACTGTACTGTATCTAGAGTAATGAAAGGATTTCTTGTGGGTATTTAACATTGTCTGCTGCTGAGTACAGTGTATACAGCATGGTAGTAGTATATATTATTTTGTTTACAGTATTAACAATATTATGTCCAGTACAGTGGTGTTTGTGTATATAATACAGATCCTGCGAGATGCATGACTTATACATGTGCAAAATTCCACTGTCTTTGCTGTAACACACAGCTACATTCATGCCCATGTCATATTGAGTGTTGTTTTTTAATAAATTTATCTATCAAACTTTTAGATTAAGAATTTATGATTATTTAGATAAAAAATGGTGTGCCAGTACACAGCCTCTTCACCATCAAGACTCCAGCTGTGCCTCCTCGTGGCAACACACCGTAACTGGGTGCCTCGTGGGCCCAGGATAAACCAGCAGGGGATCTCGGAACAGCTGTGAGCCCCAGAGGGATGGTGCATAGGCCCAATGCCATGTGGACACATCCTAGCACCGACCAACCATTGGCCCGCTGCCTTGCGGATTAACCGTGGTCGGTATAAGGATACGGGAGTAAACCCCAAATGAAAAATCTGTGGTGGAGCCCCGCATCAGGCAGACATGCTTACAGAGCTCCAACAAGACCCCAACGGCGGTGTAGGCGGAAGAGGTGACCACCATGGGAACCCAACGACTACACCAGCGGATGAAGGCAATGCCTGTTGGACAGGCTACTTTGGCGAAACCCAACAAACTGGGCTATCGACAGTCCATTGCAACTCTCCCTCTCCCCAGTTGATGCAACACTTGCACCACTGGATCCGGAAAAGGAAGAGCCAAGATGTATGGTTGCAGCCTGCGCTCCTGCCTCACCACATAAATCAACTCACACACAGCCATCACCCAGCTCATCATGCTTCTCATCATCTGCCCCCAAAAGTCCTATGGCAACGGACGAGTGGCAACAGAAACAGGCAGAGATGACTACCAGGAATCTCTAGTCACAACTTTACACATAGGCGGCACAGATAAGATGGTCGTTTATGCACTGGGATCTGGACAGCAGTGCAATCCGGCCCTGTCTGTGCAACTGAGTAACCCTTTCGAGGGCTGCCCTAAACATAGCCTGCCTAAAGAACCAACATACCTTGACAACCACACCCAGTTAGGTCATCCTTATGCGGTCGAAAACACAATCAAGATCACAGATCAAAACAAAAACAAACTATACAACCTCTTATGATCACTGCATGGATTGTCAGGAACCTTCTGGATACTGGCACAAATGAGTGTCCTTAATGAAAACCTGCCCTTGTGGCAAAAGAGCTGGCTAGGTTATAACATCGACATAGCATCAATTAGTGAGTGCTGGCTCCAAGACGAGGGTCAACTCACAGAACGGGGGTCTGGGTATACTTTCTGCTGAAAGACTAAGCGTGCTGCGGAAAGAAACCGCATTTATTTAGTTAGCTTTGCCATCCGCCAATGCATCCTACATAAGCTAACTGAAATGCCTATTGGGATCAACGAACGCCTCATGATGCTTTGAGTCCCACTGAATCACTCACGTCATGCCTTCTTCAACAGTGCATACCCCCAACACTGGATGCAGAGGATGACATCAAGGAGGCCTTTTACACCGACCTCGACAGAGTGCTAACCTCTATCCCCAGAAGATAAGGTTGGGCTCTTTGGTGACTTCAATGCCAGAATTGGCAGAGATGCTAACATTTGGCAGGGAACCATAGGGAGAAATGGACTAGGAAAGTGTAATGCCAACTGCCTACCCCTTCTCAGCAAGTGTGCTGCACACAACCTTACTATCACCAATACCTTAATACCTTGTTTAGGCAGGCCGACAAGTTCAAGGGTTCGTAGCAACACCCACAATCCAAACACTGGCATCTCATTGACTGCATCATTGTCAGAGAAAGAGATCGCCGAGATGTCCTCATCACCCGAGTCATACGTGGCTCAGACCACTGTGACACTGATCATCAGCTCGTCAGAGCCAAGGTCTCACTTCACGTCGTCCCAAAACAGCGAAGGCAGCAACCCTCGAGAAGTGGTTTTAAGACTGAGTGTCTTGAGGATCCAGCGGTAGCATAGGCTTTCAGAAAGCAGCTCGAACATGGGCTGATAAACAACCCGACAACAAATAACCCAAATCCCGGTGCCGATTGGGATATTCTCGACACAGTCATGACAAAAACTTGCAGAGAGACCCTCGGCCAGGTCAAAAGAATACACCAGGACTAGTTTGATGAAAATAACCTGGAAATCAATGTTCTTGTTGATGATAAAAGTGCTCCTTTTACTGACTGGCAGAACAACACCTCAGTCTCGGAACAAAGCTGATACCTTCCGCAAGAAGAAAGTGACAGCACAGAATGAATTTCACAATCCAAAGAGTGACTGGTTTAAAAATAAAGCATGTGAAATGCAAAAACTTGCAGATCAACACAAGATGCATGAATTTTTCAACTCCACTAAAACATTTTATGGGCCAATCACTAATGGCGCAGCCCCACTCCGCTCATCTGACGGTAACTCCCTAATTAAAGATGATGAAGGCCTCCTTCAGCGCTGGAAAGAGCACTACCATTTGCTGCTCAACTGAAACACCAATGTGGATGTTCTGACTACTCAGCAGGTTCCCTCAGCATCCAGAGCTGACTTACCTCAGCTATCCTCCATCCCTGGATGAGGTAGCCACTGCCATCAAACAGATGAAAAATAACAAAGCCTCAGAGCCTGATGGAATCCCAGCCGAGGTGTATAAAGCAGGAGGACTTCTGCTTACCAGCCGTCTCCACTGTCTCCTGGAGAATATATGGGAAAAGGAGGAAATCCCCTAAGCTCTTCAAGATGCCTCCATTGTCAATATTTATAATAACAAGGGAGACTGGTCAGACTGTGGCAACTACCGCGGGATCTCGCTGCTGTCTGTAGCTGGCAAGATTATCACCTGAGTCCTCCTCAACAGACTTCTTCCTGAGGCGGAAAACTTCCTCCCAGAATTTTGATGCGGCTTTAGACCATCACGTGGCACCACTAACATGATCTTCGCTGCCCGCTAGATACAGGAAAAGTGCAGAGAACAGCGTTGTGACCTTTACTGTACATGGCTTTCATCAACCTACCGGTAACCAAGGCCTTCGACTCGGTCAACAGGGAAGCCCTCTGGTAGACCCTCAGCCGTTTTGACTGCCCACCAAAATTCATCGCCAATGTGAGGCAACTCCACAATAGCATGAACAGCGTGTCCTGCACAATGGCACCCAGTCTGAGTTCTTCCCCATCCAAATGGAGGTAAAACAAGGATGTGTACTGGCACCAACTCTCTTTTCCATTTTCTTGGCTGCCTTCCTTACTCGTGCCAGTGCCAATTTAGCCGGTGGGATGAACATCGAGTACCAGCTGAAGGGTCTTTTCAACACAATACGACTCCAGGCAGGAACAAAGTTGTCAGCAGCTTCCATGACTGAACTTCAGTATGCAGATGCCTCACCATTGTTGCTCACACTGAATGGGACCTACAGGAGAATCTGAACACCTATGCAGATGCGTATGCACACTTCGGCCTTGAGGTGAATGTAAGTAAGACTCAGATTCTCTTTCAGCCTGCCCCTGGTTCAGCCACACCTCCACCATCCATCTAGCTTAACAGTACTACCCTCTCTAATGTTACCCACTTCCAGTATCTCAGCCCACATCTGTCCACCACCGTGGACATCGATGAAGAGATTCAACATCTGATCAGATCTGCATCTCAAGCCTTTGTCAGACTCTGTACCCGTGTCTTCAGCTGTAGGGAGCTAAAATCATCTACAAAGTTGCACATATATCAAGCAGTGGTCCTCCCCACTCTGCTATATGGCAGCGAGACATGGGTCACATAGAGGAGGCACCTCAAGGCACTTGAAAGCTTTCGCCAACGTAGTCTACGTTCCATCCTCCGAGTTCGCTGGGAAGACAAGAGAACAAATGCCAGTATTCTTGCCGACACCAACTGCAGGATCATTGAGGCTACCATTATCCATGAACAACTACGCTGGACTGGCCATGTTACCCACATGGACAACAGTAGACTGCCAACTTTGGCAGTACATATACTATACTAAAGCAGCTACTTTACAGTAATCTAATGAATAGTAAACGTATCAGTGGCGGGCAACTGAAAAGGTATAAGGATAGTCTTAAGACAAACCTGAAAAAGTGCCAAATCGACCCCCTCACCTGGGAGACGATTATTCCACACTGTAACGCTTGGAGGAGTACCACACAAGAAGGTATCAATACTTCCGAGTTAGCCCGACTGCAAACCGAGGCAGAGGAGCGCCAACACAGGAAGGACGCTGCCACCGCCCCCCCCCACACTAGATGTAGCCCCCCACATGTGCAACATCTGTGGACGACCATGACTGTCCCGTATCAGTTTCTCTAGTCACCTCAGAGCTCACCAATGAAGGTGACATCCCTTAATAACTCAAATCAATGTATCATAGCTGGATGATCGTATAACTCGATTCAGAGTGACAGCAAAGTAGTAGCAGTATGGTATCAAATTCATCATTCTAACATAATTAGAACAGATGCTGCAAATAAAAATTT